GGAAATCATAAATCTCTCATATTTGGCTAGTCCTTTTTCTTGTAGGAAAAAGTTTGGACTTCTATAAATTGAGGATCCTTCCTTCTCATTCAGTAGCATCCACAATATATCCATATAGGGTTTGAGAGTCGTGTTTAGGAGAAGAACTTTCCGGGATAAGTGTTAGCGTGTCACTTTTGTTTGCCTCTTCGTGAGGTTGTTCTCTCGATATTTTGTATTCTCTTTTATATAGTGGATTGCTTATCTCCGCCCGTGGACGTAGGTCAGTTGATCGAATCACGTTAAATACTTGTGTCTCTTTTGGTATATTCTCTTTTGTTGTCTGATTTATCGTCGTTGAGGGTTTGTTTTACAAGCTTCCGCATGACACCTGATTTTTCAGTCCTAACAGGACCGACTAGAACAGATCAAGCAGGACTAGCATGCTTCTAAGCTAGCAAACTTCTAAGAAGAAGTGCATATGTCTCACATGACCACGTCAGAATGAGAGAGGACAATAAAGAGTTTAATAAGATATATCACAAGTTCACATGGTAAATACATATTTGGGATAAATAATAACGTAGCCCGAGGGACAAATCCGTAAGGGTCTATTAGCTAAAAAAAATTATATATATAGTACTCCTACTAAACAATATAAAGGTGAAATCACTGGACACGCACTTCAATAATTTGAGACATGATATGATTTTGCTTACGGGTGATCAATCTGTGGAATCCAAAAGCAAAAGAGAAAGCTAGCAATAGCTTTGTTAAAATGGTTGTGCCCATGCATATTGATATCTTTCTATTTTGGTACATAATTTTTTGTCTTTTTGGTATTACCTTCTTTTTATTTTTACACAGCTAGCTTAGCTTCATCTTTTCCTTACTCAGTCAGATCATTTCTATTTCTAGTGAGACAAAGGGATAAGAAAGTGAAAGTTGTAGGCTTGGTTTGGTAAAATGCTCCCAAGTTAGGGACAAGCAAAGGATTAAATGTCAAATCTTTTGCGCTCAAGCTTTTCCTACTTTGACCAAAAAGTTAATGTGAGCAACATTATGTAATATTCCCTCATATTTTTTCTTCCTGTTTACTTTTAAGAGTCCAACAATATTGATACGAATTACAATAAATCAATTTTCTTATGAAGGCGAAGAAATTACCCTTACGTATCATGGAAGGAAAGGATAATGTGTAACACTATGCTAATCTTGGCATTGTCGAAGTTCCTGTCGTTTTATAATATTGAAACCCAAACAATAATGTTGATAGCATTATAGCCTTTTTCTAGGCCAAAATATTTTTTTGGCTAAAAGTGTAACCTAAATAGTCACTCGTTCAACCTCTTAAACTAAAAATAGGCGGTAGATGTCTACTATATGTATAATTCATGTAGACTATATGTATAACTGAGTATAATCAGTGTATAATCGATGTATATCGGCTAGAAAAAGTAAACAGTGAATCCAGATTATATTTGTGTAAAGATCCTTTTTTTTCAAAGTTAAGGTGTAATTTGACCAAGCTTTTAGAAGAAGAAAAAGTATTTTGAGTAGAAGCAAATGCAGTTTTTAAGAAGTAGAAAAAAATAGTTGTTCCCCAAAAATATTTTTTGAAAAATATTTTTGAGAAAAATTCACTTAGAAGTGTTTTTTAAAAGCTTGATTTAACACTAATTGCTGCTGAAAAAGTACTTTTCAAATTCCTTAAAATAATTTTTTAAAAAGCACCTTTGAGAATAACACTTCTTTATAAGTTTGACCAAACAAACTATTAGTATGTTGGTATCAAAGCCAACCCCATAGTCTAAGGAAGAAAGAGTTCTATCAAGCCCAAATGCTGAATTAAGGAATTGGATTTTGACAAGAAAGACATCAGGATGTTACAGAACATCACAGCCCAAAATTCCCATGTAATAGCCCAAACAATCTTAAATTCTAAAGAAGATAATTTCTTTTTAGATATCAATGAAAAGAAGATATACATTGGGGGGTGTTAATGGATATTTAAAAACTGACTAAATCGACCGAACCGTACCGTACCGAATCGATTTTTAGGTTTCTTATAAAAAAAAAATTGTAGGAATCGAACCGATAATCAGGGTAGGTTTTTATTTTATGAAAATAAATCAAAAAAATACTGAACCGTATCGAATAAATTTACAATGTGAAAAATATATTTATATATTAAGTTTAAAAATAATAAAGCATTAAATTTTTTTCTGGGGCCTTGGAATTATCAAATAGTTACAAGACAACAAGTAAGTAAACTTAAAATCCTAATTATTCCCAAACTATTATGCTACTCTTATTGAAATTAAATTATTTCCAGCATATACACTAGCAAAACACAATGTGTTGTAGCGATTACGAGTAGCAAACTACAATGTATTGAACATGTTCCGTTCGTAGATTTAGATTTATCTTTTAGAATATTTAATCTTCTATTGACTTTATTCTTGAAACCCAGCTTGGTTAATATTCCACTCGTGTAATTTATATATTTTTTTTATATTTGCTTAGTTTCTTTTACGTTGATGTAAAATAGTTGATGGATCTGTACTCTATCTATTTTTTATATTTTCTTAATTTATCACCTTTTAAACTGTAAAAATGTCTAGAGAGTTTTTCTAAATCCTATAAAAGTACATATGTTATTGCATTCTACTTCTACTGGTGATTTTTACATGACATGTAATAAAAAAAATTACCGAATATTTACCAAACAGTACCGATACCGAAGAGAAACCGACATAATTGAGACGGTTTCGAAAAGACTAATTTTGGTTATACATAATAGAATAATCGAAAAATTGGTATAGTACAAATTTTATAAAATAACCGGCCGAACCGAACCATTGACACCCCTAATACATCTGTATTCTTATTTCACATTTTATCCCCCATAAAACAATGTAATTTGATATTAAATCTGCTTATTCCAGTAACCAACACTACTAAAAACGGAAAAAACTGACCACCAAAATTGACCAATATTGCTCGGTAATTGGCAAAAATCAATCGAAAACGGACCGATTCATAACACTCGGTAACAGTAAGGTCGGCAGAGCTAACCGACTGACTTTGGTCGGTATTTTCCGACCGATTTCAGTCATGAATTAAATTCCAAAACAGAAAAAATTGCTAAAAAAATCGACCGAAGTCGGTCGGTATTTTAATTATGTAATTAAAAAATACATCATCTGGGAATCGAATCGGGGTCTGTACTGTGGGAGGATACTATTCTACCACTAGACTATTGATGCATTTTGTTTTAAGACTGTATACTCTTTAATTGCATTTTCGCGCGAAAATAACCGACCGATGTCGGCTAGTTTTACTAAAAAATAAAATTACCAATCGAATTTGGTTGTTTTTTAATATTCATTTTAATTTATTCTAATTGAAAAACCGACCAAAGTTGATCGGTTTCGTAAAAAAAAATTAAAAAATAAAATATTTTGAAAAACCGACCAATAACTTATTACCGGATTTCTAGTAGTGCAAATCGTCTCTAATTATAGAATTGTTAGAAAGATAATATCCCAAAAGATGCCAAAAATATATTTAAATATAGTCTTCTGTTTACACTAATATAATTAAGCCAAGAGTACAACAGTTCAAGTCAGTCTGTCCGTTTGCAACAGCAAGACCTGATTTCCCGCCTACATTATTGGGATAAATCATAAATAGTAAACCCTCCCTTACCAAAGAAAAAAAAAAATCAGCCTCACCCACTGAAACATGTCACCTCAGAATATAACGAGAAATAATTCTCATATGCTTACTTTCTAACAGCGAAAATTATCTTATATATATGACACACCACTTTACTTAGGTGACACTCGCGTGTTATACACAAAAAAAGGGCGACTGAACTCCAAAAATCTTTTTTTAAAATAAAAAAAAAAAACTTAAAACTTTAACTCAGGATTTGAACTCATAAGAACTCAATCATGGAAGTTCAAAATTCCTCCTCAAATAGCTCTGTTCAAATTTTTGGAGCTCAATGAATTAGTTCTTAATCAATTCCAAGCAACAAACAATCCACATAAATTTTAACTTCATATTCACATTAACCCAGAACTCAACAACTACTTTTGCATTCTGCTCGCCTATGAAGTCTTTTGAAATCAGCTGTTACTTTTAAAATTCAACCCAAACAATTATTATCCATTGATGGCAACTAAAAATTTGAGTTCGAAATTGAATTTTATTTGTGGCTCGAACAATGGAACCCACCTCAAGTCTATTACATTAAAATCAGTATTTTTTTAAAATCAACAATTTTTTTAAAAAGCATGGTGTTGTTGAAATCAAAAATTGAATTTTAATCACAGTTTGGGATGAGAGTTAGGTGCAGTAATGTTCAAATCACCATTGCCGACAAAGCTTCGGAGGTTGAAGTCGAAATTACATTTGAATATGAAATTTCATGTTCAAATTCAAGTGAGTGTTCTAGGTCCTTGATGAAAACACTTGCACAAAACTAAATCTGATGTTTGGAATGAAATGAAATTGATTATGGTGGCTTTGGAAAAAAAAATAAACTAAAAGAGAAGTTGAATCTAAAAAAACGTTCAGAAACCTAAGAAAGAAGGAGATGAGGGTATATTTGTAATTCTAAGTATATTTTTTAAGTTAAGGATACGTGTCGCAACCTCATTGGTGCGTGACATAGACATATTTTGTGAAACTGGTCAACTATAAAAGTGGTGTGTCATATACACACTGTTGAAAGGTTGAATGTATAAGATAATTTTCACTGTCAGAAAGTGTGTAAGAGGGATTTGGTCCATAGTTCATGTAGCAATCTATGTATTTTGCCATTGATTTATTGTTTCTTTTTTTCTTCTCTTGTAAAAAGATATGGTGTCATCAACACCTAAATTAAAGAGTGTGTCACTTTTCAAATTGACAAGGCTCTAACAAAAATCTCAGGTAAAACCTTTGAAATAATATGAATTTAGATGAATTAGCTAAGAATATGATGTCTGGTGGAAGAGGTTTTGCAATTCATGCAAAATCCATCTTCAAATTCCATGTTTCTTGAAAATACTAATCATGGTACATTGTGTAACAAGAGTAGTACTGTTGATGAAATGTGTAGAGAAAACCATAATCAAAAAATTATAAAGCATTACTCTCTTGAGCCACAACTGAGTAGTACTCTTGGTCATGAGACTAGTCTTGAGGATTTTTTGATAAGTGCTAATGTCATTAAAAATGGGAATAGGTTTGATAATCAGCCATTAATGGAGCCTAAATTCCATCAGCAGATCAATGATATGATCATGCCAATGCCTATCCAATTTTATTCAGATATTGATTTTGAGAATCATCAGTCTATGAATGTTGTTAATAAGAAGATAACAAATATGGCAATGACAACAACATCGAATGATAGTCATTTAAGTGGCGAAAGGAAGAGGACTTTCACGGATGAGAAGATGGAGAAAAGTATTGAAAGGAGGCAGAGAAGGATGATCAAGAATAGGGAATCAGCTGCTAGGTCAAGAGCAAAGAAACAGGTAGAGAAGTGAATTTCTAGCGAGTTTATTCACATTATTCTTGAATATTCTGTCTGTGTGAGCTTTGATCATATTGTCAGTCCCAAGTCCGAATAAAAGAAGAGGATTGTGGCCTGGTAGGTTGACAACCAACGTAAAACTTTTACTGATCAATTTATAATATTGTCATTAGTGACTTATTTTTCTTGAATAATGACCTACTTAATCTTCTCGTATCTTCCTTTTGGAATTCTAGGCTTACACAAAACAATTGGAGCAAGAGGTGTTAGAGTTGACTAGTTGAGGAACACTAACAATTGGCTGAAAAAGCAAAAGGTGAAACACTCAAATTTTCTCAGAGTTTACCCGTTTATTTGTTAAAAAACTAGTGTTTTTAGGTACAAAAAAATATGGAATTGAATATTTAGTTTAACGTTTTGTGCTTAACTTCTTTTATCTATTTCCCATGTGTTAGGTAAAGGGATCTACGCTTCTATTACATAAATGAAAATAACTAGCGAATTGTAGAATTTGTAAAGAGTAAAAGCAATTTGCATCTTTAAATGTTCCGTTGTAAAGGCTAGAGAATAATATTCCTGTTCTGACTGTTTTATGCTGAAGTAATGAGCTTTTGAACTACTACAAAGATTACATGGCAAAATAAAACCAAAAAACCGAAAGAAAGTCAAACATAGCAGTAGCTTTTATCTCTATGTTGTTGGATTTAAGTTAAATAGAATAAGAAAGAATTAACTTAAATAGCCGTCCACCCTTAAATTAAAAATAGTCGGTGAATGTATAATATATACATAGTTCATGTATTATATGTATATAATCATGTTTAATCAATATATAATCTATGTATATGGCTAAAAAAAATAATAAATATGACTAGCTATTTGTATAAAGATCTTATAGAATAATAATATAAAACAAATTATACATCAATATAATTTAACTTATTATAACATGTTAATATTCAACTAATGTTTAATTAATGAATTTAAGTTATTATATATTGACGGTATAAAAAATTATTTATGTAAGAGTCCTTATAAGATAACTACACATAAAACTTTTTTCAAATTGTTGATAGTATATCTTGTTGTAGTTCTATGTAGAGTATCATTTCCTATTTGATCCATTTGAATTCCATTTTCAAAGTCGCGATAGGATCTATCCATAAAAGGAATCTCTTTAGTACATTTCTTATGTAGCCGTGGATATTATATTGAATTTGAATTATATTTCGGATCAATCTATATTAAGTGAATGTCTTCATTTTGTTGTTTCTAGCAAATACCATTATTTTTAATTTTGGATCTTCTAAATTATTCCCTTAAAATTCAGGAATAGTGTAAAAAGTATTTTCTCTACCTAAATATATAAGTTAAATCCTTATTAAATAAAGTTACATATAATTATTTGCAGAATTAACCTAAATAGCTACCTAACTAATTACCTAAACTAAAAATAGGCTACTGATATTAACATATGTATAATTCATGTATAATACATATATAAATTAATGTATAATTTATGTATATTGACTAGAAAAAGTAAACAATTGATCCAGCCGCATATTTGTACAAAGGTCTGTAATTATATAATTGCTTAAACAGTTTTACACTGTCAATGCACAATAACTCAATACCTTGACTGAGCATTATCTATTGTTGTTAACAGGACTTGGAGAAACTTATGTGCTCAAAGGTAGCTAATTCTGAGCCTAGATACCAACTCAGAAGAACCAGCTCAGCAGCCTTCTGAGCCTCAATTTTCACACCAAAGGGCAAAGCCTTCCTATTTTTGATTTTATAAATCATATTTCTTATTTTTTATCCTTGTACTATCATCCCTCTCAATTGTAATTTGATCTGCGTTGGCCAGCTTTCAACTATTAGCCTAAGAGTTGCATCTATCACTGACCAACACTATCAGTGTTACATAATAATCGGTCAGGAAAAACAGTGATCTTTGGTTGATACAGTTTTATTTGAGATTTTAAAACAAAATAGTATCGTAAAATTAATACAGGAAAATATCTAATGGGGTCTTGTTTTCTTTCAATTTCTCATACTTTAATACTTACAATTAGAAAAAGAAATTACTACCAAAATGGAATCGAAGGCATAATAGAAAAAATGCTGTCTTGGACCAAAGGAGCTTCACTTGGACTACTTTATTGATTTTTGGGATCTTTACACCAATAGCCAGTCAGATTCATTGTATACTATACTTTTCTTAGACAGTATCAATAAATTATACACAAATTATACTGTTAGATCTTGTTTTAATGATACAAATAATATACATGTGCAGGAAATTAATTACAAGAAGTAAAGAAGACTGCTGGAGTAGTTCATGATGTATAAGGAAAGAAATCAATTAGCATACAATCAGCAAATCTGGAAAGGACTCGCGAATCTGAACGGAATCCAATCAACAAAATCAGCAACGATTAGCTGAGTTGGAAAGAATCAAATAAGCCTTAAGTAAAGGCACAAATCAAGGGCAGAATCACGGGAGATTGAAAGATATGAGGAGATTGGTACGCGACCAAGTTTGGAAGAACCAACAATCAAGGAGAAATCTTCACTCGTATCTCTGCTGAAGGAAAGCAATCAAAGAGAAGCAACGACTCATTCCTTATTCTTGGAAAGAATCAATTCTTTCCAAGGATCAAATCTCTTGGGTTGTCAAGCCTCTACCATCTATCAAAGTATTTATACCTCGTTGTAAACCCTAGTTGTTATACTTTGATCAAACCAAAATCACTCTCTTTATTCTACTACAAACAAGCATTATAGTTCACTAATATCTGTTGTGTAACAAGTCAAGGAAAGAAAAAGAGCATAACACTGGTGAGGCATTGTATCAAAAACGAGTGCTAGAGAAACTGAGTGAAATTCACTACAACTGTACTCGGAGAAACTCATTTACTAAAGAAAACTCTCTTGCAACCCAACGGGACTGGACTAGGATTCACATTGAATCCGAACCAGTATAAAAATCCTGGTGTCTTTAATTCCTGCAAATACTTTCTGCAATTTACTTACTTTTATTATATTTTCTAAATTATCATATCTAGTCGACTACTCTAGTAATAAGTCAACTAATAAGCGATTATTTTTAAAGATTTACAATTCACCCTCCCCCCTCTTGTACTTTCAATTGGTATCAGAGCAAGGCTCATATTTTACTTTTGCTTAACAGCTTGTGAGAAAAGATCATGGCAAATCAGGTTATCATAGGAGCTCTTTTTCAGGAAGGAACTTCACAAGTTAGACCACCATACTTCAATGGAAAACATTTCTCTCATTGGAAAATATGAATGGAAATCTTTGCTAAATCTTACGATGTCAAAGTCTGGAGAGTCATCAAAAAAGAAAACTATCCCCTACCGGCTAGCCCTCCACTACTTGTTGATCCCGAAGATATAGATTCATACTCAAAAGAGCAATTGGAAGCGGTATAAGTGAATAACAAGGCAAGAAATCTACTTCATAACGCTATAAGTAGTGAAGAATACGAGAAAATATCGAGTTGTGACACAGCCAAAGAGATGTGGGACAAACTTGAGGGAACCAGCAAAGTAAAGGAAACACACATCAACATGATGGTTCATGATTACGAACTCTTCTCAATGAAAGAAGGAGAATCCATTGAAGAGATGTTTTTCAGGTATAGCAAAATAATTAGCGACTTAAAGGCATTTGGCAAACCCTACACTAGTGGTGATCAAGTCAGAAAAAATCTCAGAAGTCTGCCAACCACTTGGCAGACCAAAGTAGTCACACTGGAATCTCAAGACCCAAACAAATAATCCTATGATGAACTACGAGGAGAACTCATTGCTTTTGAAAGAACTCATCTAAAAAAGACAAATCAATAGGAGAAAAAGAAAATAGTTGCGTTCAAAACCTCTACTGAAATGGCTGAAAATAAAATTGATGATCTTGAAGCTCTACAAGAAAAGATTGCTATGATGTCTATGAATGGGCTGATGAGAAGATGTAGAAACACAAAGAAAGGAAGATACCCACCAAGACGATCCAGACAATACAACGAACAGGATAAGAATGATGGAAATGCTGCGAATGTGGAAAATTTGGGCACATTCAAGCTGAATGCCCAGAACTGAAAAGGAAGATCTCTAGAGGCTTCAACAAGAACAAATCCTTCAGAAGCTGGAGCAATGAGGATGACTCTGACCACGAAGAAATAGCAAATCTTTGCTTCATGACAATTCTGGAAAATGAAATGAACAAAACTTCAGGATGCTGGACAGATGAAGATGATTCAGATGACGAGAATGAAAACTGTTTCATGGCACGAGGTAAAACTAGTGAGATAAGATCTTATGACTGTAAAAGATGTAATGAATTGCAGGATATCCTTGATTCAACCTTGAAAGAGTCTCAAAAAATGATGAATGAACTTAAGAGACTCACTAGGGAGGGTAAAGACTGGAAACTCAAACACGAAGTATGTGAAATCGAAAAGGAAGTACTTCAAGAAGAGTTTGAGGATTTGCAAATACAGCTCAACAGCTTGCGCAAATCCACCGTCATAGTTCTATTAGGTCAAACCAGACGACTTACAAGTTGACTGGAAAGGAACCAACCAGAACCAAATCGACCAGTCGGTCGGACCAGGTGACTTACAAGTCAATTGGGAAAGAACTAACTAGAACTAAGTCGGCTAGTTCCAACACTTATGAAAGACCTATAAGCAGGTCTGAAGCTAAATGTCATTACTGTAATAAAAGTGGGCATAAATATTTCTTTTGTTATTTTCGTAAATCAAATGTGTCAGGATGGGTTTGGAAACCAAAAAATTCTGAACCTAGTACTACTAACCCTCCAGGACCCAGGCAAGCTTGGGTACCTAAAAAAAAGTAATCATCTTGTCTTGAAGGAACACCACAGAGTAAGCCGCAAAGGAAAATGGTATCTAGATAGTGCATATTCTAGTCATATGACAGGTGACAAAAACCTGTTCAAAAAAGTTACAAAAATCGATGGAGGAAG